GCCGTCCCTCTCCAGCGTTGCCAGGTGCAGGAGAAGGGCGGCGTACAAATAGAAGGGCCCGCTGTAAACAGCGCAAACGAGGTTTTATTCCGAAGTCATATGAAACAAGTGCAAAATTTAACTTACGCTGTTCTTACGGCACAGATGTTAAAACATGGCAATATCCCCATTTTCATACTGATACAAAAAATAATATAAAACCACCTCTGTCCACCTATTCCGTATAAACTTTGGTTCAACAACATCAGATAAGTAACACTATGTATGTCCTTAGAGCCAAACATAAACACGGATTGAGGCCCATTCTTTATTCGCCGTTCAAAAGTTATTCCTAGGAGTGGAAACTCTGCATGAGATCACACTGTAAAAACAGAACCCGGGATAAAAACTGCTAGTAGGCAGCTTGATTCTTTTATTTGAGTCCTCACCCAGACAGTGTAAGACTTTTTCTGAGGCTTTTACCCATCAAGGTCACCACCAGTCATGGGCTGCATACACTGGCTTTGCAGAACGGCACGTGTCAGAACGCTCCTCGCCACAGGGAAAGGCGGCGGCTAACACTTCCAGTCTCCACTTCTAATCCTGCCTTCTTCCAGAACATTAAATAGCACTGTGGTTTTTGAAAGTTTAAAGTAATAACTGTTTATTCTGATTTCTGCCCAGAGTTAACATTTTTGGTGCAATTTTAAATATGGCCAAAAGAGAGCACATTGCATTGCTGTGTATAAATTTACATTTCATAATCCTTCTGGAATAGATGCTGAAAACGTACATTGCTTCTGTTGCATTGCTGAATTGTTTCCAAAGTGCATGAGATGGTACGTTGCTTAAGTATGTGATTAGTAATGAATGTTTAATACGATGAAAAGTCTTCCAGATAACTTAAAAGTAACCATTCAAGAAAATAAAAACAGCCCCCACAACAACAAAAAAAACTCTACACTGGTTTTAGGACAAGCAGTAACAACTTTTTTTTTTAAGAATAAAATTAATTTACAACATTAGTCTATCAAGAAAAATGTACATTTTGTATCTGTATGCTTTACAAGATGCTCCAGATCTGCTCTGTATTTCTATGGGAGGTATATATTACAGAATTATTTGGCTGCATTATAAGGCAATCAGTGAAAAACACTTTTTCCTGTAAGAAACCATTCAGAAGTGAGATCCAATCACGTCATTCTTTGCAGACAATTCCAAACATTTCTGCTGACAGCAACCAAACTATGCCGTATCATCTTTATTAAAATGTAAAGAAATGTGCTTAAAAGAGAAAGGCGTAAACTTGTATCCTCCACCAGAGTAGAATTTGTTCTGAAATTCCACCCTGAAACGAGACCAAAAAAAACCCAGAACCTGTATATTAATCCAAAATGACCGGTTGTCAAGGGATGGAACTGTGCAACACAAGAGGCTGAACAAAACCAATCCTGATCCTGTCACTTACTTTTTCTGTGCAGCTACTTAACCTTCCTATCGCATTCTCAGGCAAATTTCATGTTTCTCAAGAGACCCAAACACACTGACATTGTGCTGTAATGGCTCATTTCTCACTTCTGTCTTACTAATTTGTTTTTGCGTTAGTTGCATTTAATTGTTTTGCAAACATACAGTATCAGGAAGACAATACTCTCTAATACATTTAGCTCTGCCTCTTTTGTTTATATACTATATGCCTGCCTTTTCTTATACTGTAAGTTTCATCAGGTTTCAAACTAAATATTCTCTGAACCCACTCCAATGTGCAGAGCTCATGCTCTTCAGACTAAGAAAGGATTAAAATACTTAAGGGTTGGCAGCTCCACTTCAGCAAAAGTTTTGCTCACTAATATACATGTTCTGTTGAACCAAATAAATAAAATAGACTGAAGACATTCAGTGATATAACGAGACTGAAATTAAAAATACTTATCTACATTACTAATATTCTACAACACGAAAAGCTGCAATACTATAAATCAGATGTACCCATAGTTTGCACCAAAATCAACTCTGAATATGGTTGAGATTAATATCCATCATAAGCCAATATAATAGTTAAATTTACTGAAAATATTCCAGAGGAACAATCACATTATGATTAAATAAATCTATTACAGTAGCATGAGCCTGTTGGATTTTACACTTGTCTTTTTAATAAGGCACCTAATATTTTAACACAAAAATTCCTCTTAAACAAGCCAGTATACACTAAAGAAGTATAACGAAAAAATGAACTTACCAGTGAAGTCGTATAGCATGGAGAAAAGCAGAAAGCCCCTCCATGACCAAAAGAATAAAAACTGTTAGCACAGCAAAAAAGGCTAGAACAGGGACTAGCAGTAAGACACCATATGTTGTATCCACACGAAGACCCACTCTCATCACCATCTGCCACAGAACTTCTGACAACTCTATTAAAAAAAGGTTTTGTAATTAATGTTGATACTGCATACATTCACCCAGTGAGCTACTCTAACTGACCTGTATTCCAGTTTAAACAGGATTACAGGATCTGCTAAACATGGCAACTATAAGCAACCCCCTGCCCCAGTTAGGTGCCCCGGCTTCCCTCCCCTGAATACAAGGTGCATCTCAGTTTCAAAATAAGATCTACTGATGGCAACGTTTTACACCATGACACTAAGACTTTAGGAAGTGCCTAAATACCTTCCAAACTGGTCAATCAGTGGAAAATAGGAAATGGTACTGTGACTACAGATAGACTATTATGTGAGGTAACACTGTGCTCAGATAATTGGCCTCTTTAAAACACAGATCAATCAATGAAGCAAATTACTAGATTCCAAATACGTCGCAATTGTAGTTTGGGGGCTTTTCATACATCATGATTAGTTTAATCAGGGAATTTTTTTTAATTAAGGAAAAGATAATTTCACATTAATATCACTTTGACAGGCCAGCCTCCCTCCAACTAACCAGCATTAAAAATCAAGACAGATTAAAAAAGCCAACCAACCAAAAAAACCCGCCACTTACGTGCATGAGCAAGACTTAATGCCCAGAGTCTCAGATATGAGGCTGTATTAGAAATACATCCTAGACAGTATTCAATGGTGTGAATTGCTTGATTCATAAAAACATCTGCAAAATTAAGCTAAAATATAAAAATACATTTGTATCCCTTTAAACAACATACTACAGCATGAGAGAACAAAAACATTCATCTGCAAATCTTAATATACATGGAAGAAAAATTCCATTAAAGGTAATACATTGATTTTGTATCAAGTAAAAAAAAAGATCTGCTATGTTTAAGATCATTATTACAGAGACAACATTAAAAAAAAAAAAATCAGATGCTATAGTTTTCCAGTTAGTTTCTCCAATTACTTTGTTGATAGATAAAAATGAATTCAATCTATGTTTTCCACAAGAAATATGATCTAACCAGCCATGGTTCTAATTCTCATTCTATTGAGGTTGTAAGTTCACAATGTCATTTTCTGGATCTTTAAAAGCAGGATTAATTATTAATAATGCTAGTGATAGAAAAATAACTACATTAATACTGTAAACTCTAAACATACGTACTCGTTGCTAACAAAGAGTTCCAAGACTAATATTACTGCAAATTTCAACACCTACTTTGCACAGAACTATGACACGTTTTATTTAAGCAAACAATTCTTGCATTTCCTATACATAAGAAGCAAGTCTACGACCCCAGTGAAGCAAGCACTATACATAGTCTGCACATTGGGAAACCGAACCAATTTTTTGTCTTTGAATTCACATGGAATCAGTGGAATCGGTCAAGACCTTTAAAAATTTGCCCAAACTAAACAGCAGCAATAGCTGGGGACTTTTGCCGCCCATGTCTCCCAACCTCCATTAGCAATAATCCTCATCACAAGATGTAATTTGCAAACATAACAAGACTTTTGTCTGGATGAAAAGCCCAGATTAATTAACAGGAAGCTGGGCAGTCATCCTCTTGCCTTAATTTTAAAAATCCACAAAACCATACAAAACCCAGGATTTTCATCCCGCTCTTCAATTTAAGAAAACCTATAGTCTCAGATGCAAAGTCTATAGAGGCAAATAAAGCACTCTTCATGTTCTCCGCTACAAATAGATTGTGGTTTACTGTAGCCATCTGAATGTACCAAGAAATAATGATACAATAGCAACAAATAAAAATAAGCCAATTGCATTCAAGCATCAACGTCTTTGTAAAGGCTCGGCTGATTTTCTTGAAAACTTCGAGGGACTCAGGATACACGTTATCTTCTTGATTTTCCACTTCTAATTTGCTTTTAAGGACATACAAACTAGAGATTAAGTAAAAACATTACCTCCTCTCCATCCACCTCTCTGTGCCCACTGTCGGAATGACTGCTTCCTTCTTCTACATCATGACATCTCAGCAGAGAAAGTTCTTCCTCACTTTCTTTTCGAATTAGCTTGTAGCCGCTCTACAAAATGGAAACGTATCGGGTCTTCAAGTGGACTGCCAGTGTCATTTTTAAAATTTATTTAAAGTACTCGCAGGCAAAGGTAAAAAGAGAGCTAGAGGAACAAATTACTATTATGTGTTACAGTCAAAAACTTTCCAAGTTGAGTAGAAATATCTAGTAAGGACATTACTCTATATGCAATACACCACTAGATGGAATTCTTCTATACTGAAGAAATATGCAAGTGTCTCTCAATACTTACCCTGTACATTCTAATGCCTCGGCCTCCACTGTGCAACCAATATAAATAAAGTGGTTTACCAAAAAGCATTACAGGAACAGAAAGAAAAGCAATACTAAGTAAAAACCTCTGCAGAGCAACCTGTTTGAGGGTGAAAGAAAAAATAAGATTAGATCACAAAACCAAAAGTAGGAAAAGCCTTCCCATTTTCCTTTAAAGGTCTGTTTGAGCATAAGAAAAATACTACTGATTTCAATGGGCATGTACTCCAAATTGAACATACATGTAAGTATTTTACTTAATCAGGCTCTTAAGTTGGGTTACAGACATCCAGCATCTTCTAGATTAGGTTCTAGATTAGGCATTACTGATACTCAGTTTAGTAAGATTATTTACAGTACATATAAAAGCATCAAAATTACAAGCATGAGACTCTGTTCTCTAGCCTTGATTTTAACCTGGGAGATTTTGTTCTAGAAACAGGTATTTTCACAAGTCACTATGTAAAATCTCACAACCAATTAAAGAGCAAATATGTTATTTAATCATAATGTTTTATTGAATTTCCCCTTAGTCTGACACATTTCCCCTTCCTCAGGGAACACTCAGCCATCAGCCATTCATGACTGGTGAAGTGGTACCTGCATAGGGAACACAGGATCTTCAGAAGCTTGTAAGAACACTACTAACCTGTCCGCTGTAGAAGACCTCTGTTTCACCACCAGGAAACAGGAACATGTTAATAAATTGAATCAGAATGCTAGGAGCAGATGTAGACTCCTCTACAGAGTATGCTAACCATTTAAAGAAGATCATAAACACAAGGTAGCCGAAGATGCACATCATGAATAAAAGTTCAGGAAGAAAAACCAAATAGATATTATACTTCTTCTTGAAATGTCTAAAAGATAAAAATACAAAAAAAAAAAAAAAAAAGAAAAGAAAAGAAAAGGAAGTTTTACAAAGAAAAATCAAGATAAACACATGGCCCAAGCATGATTTCAATAAAATAGAAGAGTACCCAACACTTAAACAGCAAGACTGAAATTACAATCCAGAACTGTTTTCTTCATATTCACTGAAATTTTAGTCAGGTATTTCAGTGGAAATAAAGACCTTAAGAGGCATGTATCTCTGTGTAGCAACATGTGAAATAAAATCTTGTATTAATTGGTATATTCAGATTTTTTCACATAATACTGATCCATCATCTTATTTCTGTGAGGGAAGACCTCTCTGTTACTGTCTTTTTTTTTTTAAGAACAGTTTTCATAATTACTATTATTCGGTTTTTAAAAAATTGTTCCAGTTTCTCTTACCAGAATAACTGTTATAACTCAAGACTTGACAAAAACTACCATGTTAATATTATCTTAACTTCTTGTACTTACAAGTGGTTAAATACCCCCAATACAACTCCAAACGTCATGTGAGTCACTCCAAAAATCACAGACATTTTCATTTTGAAAGAATTTAAAAAACTGAGACGGTTGCTTGCCAAATTCCATATCTGAAGAAGACAAAACCAGCATTATAGAACAGTGTAATAGAGGAATAAAACAGTATCCTTTCTCTACTGGAGACTAGAATTCTACCTCAAACAGGGATCACAACTGCAATTTGAATTTCATGAAAATAGTTAAATCTTTGTTTCACTCATTACGGGAAAAGCTCTTTTTGAATGAAGAATGCAAGCAGAAATGTAATTTTTCGATAGTAAGATTTATCTTCCTAATACACATACCAAAATCTAATTTACAAATGACTGATCATCACAAATGGGTAATTTAAAAGAATAAAACTAACCGGATCAATTCCAAAGGGATAAGCTCCATTGTATACACCAGAAACATTTGGATCCAGTGTTAAAAATTGATTAGACTTTAGATCCTCAAGACTGTGGAGAAAGAAAAAGACAATCAGACCTGACATTGTTTAAACATAGTGACAACACATACTTTCAGTTCTGCAGGACACTGTTCCTGCTTTCCTTTAGATGACTAGGGTCACGCACCGTCGGGCTATAAATAAAAGGATTTCTAAGCACAAAGGACCTGGCTAATAAAAACAATAGAAAAGAAAATCTCTAGAAATCACAATCTGGGGTTAATTCGCACTAACTCTCTTTGAAAGGAAAGTTTCTAGATTTTATTCCTCATTCCCCTAGAATGGAAAGTTTCATTTAAAGAGCTCACAATCTGCTTTTACACAAAATTCACTAACAAACACACAAAAAGTAATTGATCTCTTTTTTCCCTTTTGCATGTGAATGAGTTTCTACTCCTAACTTCATATAGTTTTTAATTAACACAGCACTCACAACCTGTTCACTTTTTAACCGAAGTCAGTGGTTTTGACTCTTTTAAGCCGCTTCCTGGTTTTGAGGCAAAATGAGATGCAGGCTGTGAACATTTAAATACCAAAGGACCATGACACCTCAAAAAAATGAGGTTATCCTACTTTGTGAAAAAGTAGGTTTGACAATTCACATAGCTTACTTTTTTTTTTTTTAAACTATCAAGAAAAGCTGAGCAGAGACGTATGATTGCTAGATAACAAATTTATTTCATTAATTGTTAATTTCTTTACAGCAGATGCTAATGCTGCTTGGCTATTCATTCCACAAGCACAACCTAGAACAGATTTCTCCAAAACTAGCCCTATGTTTTCTATTTCTCTCAAAATCTGAGATAGATAGATAGATAGATATTCAGAAACCTCTCCTGGAAAATATAGTAATTGGAGACAAACTAAAACCATTAGCATAAAGACAAACAATAACATAGGAGGCAGTGCACTTTTTATGAATAAAAAGAATATATGACAAGACAAAGTCCTAGTACCTTCTGTTAGGATTTTACGATACTACTGAGGTCTCCAGCCATTCATAAGAACATTTTTGTGAGACCAGAAAAATGATGCAAAACACACCTAAGAAGGTTTAGGGACTGCATAAACCCTAGAAATATCACCTCATAAAATTAGGTGCAAGTTCTTACTACCAATAAAAAGATGCTATGCCAGGTGTAGTTTTTAACCATTAAAAGTTATTAGCTAGCATATAGCATTAAAGTATTGCAACAGAATGTGTTCCAGGAGAAGACTGACTGTCATATGTACCAAATGACAATATTCTAGAAAATGTTCCAGGTGACTGAGGAAGTGTAAACCCAGGAAAGCAGCACTGATAAATATAAGATTAACCTGATAGACTGATGGAATTAAATATAATCAAATTCTACTAGTGGTTTTGCAAGAAATTGTGTTCTCTGTGGATTTCCCAATTTAAGATAATGACCAATTTGACTTTTTGTTTTTAAATAATTATTACTACCTTTTTTATTCTAAGCATAGATGTATCAATTAGCCCTTAGTGCACTAGCACTTGCTACCTTAACAACTAGATTTTGCTAGATTTCACTACATTTACTTACTACTCTCAATAAAAGGACAGTTAAAATGGGTGAGCAAAAGGGTTAAACTGTTGCAGGAAGTACCTTTTTGTTTTAATGGTATAGCAAACAGAGGCATGTTACTCACCGCCAAACCTGCTGTTCAAACATTGCTGAAACATTCCATCCAGAACCAAATATATTTAACGACTTTGAAAAACAGTCATTATAGATCAATCCAGTGTACACAGAAAACAGACCCATTAATAAAATAACATATCGGCCTTCAAATAACATTTTCATTATCTGTAAGTATTGGAAAAAAGAAAAAAGAGAAACCATCATCTGCTACGCGAACAATTGTTATCTAGACATTTCTAAGAGAAACACATTTTTGGCCATACAAAGACTTCTAAATACTAAACATTCTTGTGAACAGTCATTGAGAAATATGAAGAAACCTAAGGCAAATCAAAATGTAACACAGAGAATTTTGCTTTAAGCATGTGAATATGCAATTTACAAATGCGAGTCACCAAATGGGTGCAATTCATCTCCCCATATTCACAGCTTTATGTCAAATGATTTATATACAAAGGTTTATATGCATTAGGAAACAGAGCTAGCAGCAAGAAGTATATTCTGAAAGACAACTGTGGTGTAAATTTAATGCATGGATTTGAAGACTCCACGCAAGCTCACGACGCAAACCCGGATTTTTCTCACTGGCATCGTTACACTAATCAATAGACTTTTTAAGCTACGTTTCCTTCCCGGGACTAGTCTTCAAGAAGTTAGACATTTTGCCACCATTCTTAAATACAATTCTAATGAGATGCAGGTGTTCCTGCATTCCAACTCCATATGATTAAAAAATTAGGTAAAACTAAGTTTAATAAATTTCAAACTACAATTCCTTTTCAGAAACAATAAAAGAAGATGGAATTTGAAAAATCATTTTCTCCTCATGTTAGTCACTGTAACCACATTCTGTAAAGCACACACATCGCTAAGTAGTCCTAGCAGAAGGAAAGACAAGCCCAACAGTATCAACTAATTTTTGTCAGTCTTTCATTCCAACTTGATTATTTCTGCCCTTTCAAAAAAAGTGAATAGTTTGTTAAGATATCACATTAATCTCAAGCAATATGGCAACTTTAAACACAGAAAATCCTGAAACAAAGGAAAAAACCCAGTCCAATACATGTGCAATAAATAGTACTTTTCAGTAACATAGTAACTATTCAATTGAAGTTATCCTGCTGGATGGGAAGTAAATTATTGGTAATTGCTTTTACCTCATCTTGTGATCTTTGTAACCTAGGGTGGTTTTCATACAGTATTGCCAGGAGTGCAAATATGAACATTAGTAGACCATGCCCAAAGTCTCCAAACATAACCGCAAACAAGAAGGGAAAAGTGATGATGGTATAGAGAGCTGAAATTACAACAAAACAGATTTCAGGCACACAGCACAACAGATGATGTTGCTATCTGAATTATGCCTAAGCAATTCAATTACTTCAACCTCACAAACAATTTCAAACAATAAAGTCTGAAAGACGTTTCACCCCCTACTAATACACCTTTCCCTCACACTATGAATTTAACTCAGTTTAAAGCTTGCTTATTGTGTATCTGTTAGTAATGACAACTCCGCAGTTGAGCATTAGCTGACAATTCTGAGGATATAATATAAGCCCAGGAAATAAAAATCAAACAAACACTTCTTCCTCCGTAGCTATTTTGGCTCTGTATTACAGCGTACATTCTCTCATACAGCATGATATAGTCAATGTAGCTATAAAAACACATAAGGACATTAAACTAACTGGGCTATACAACAAGCTGGATTTTTTCAAGTGATGAGCTCCATGCTTCAATAAGATCAACAGCCATTACCAAAGTTTCCTTTTATCCCCCAAATATCTTATCTTACCCAAAGTAAAACATATAAAGAAACATTATACAGCTATTATCAGTATCTTTAATACTAAAATAACTCAGCAAAAATCAAACCCCATCTTACTGCTTGGAACACCATTTGTACTTTTGATGAGCTACTGAAATTTTAAAACAGCTACTAATAAGCAGTAGGGTTGTCACCATTTTGCCTTTACTGGTGTTCGAATCAGCAAGGAATTTAAAAACACGTAACAAGGCAAGCCGTAATGATAGCACAGCTCACAGTTCAGATTTCAGAAGGACCAACCTGGATTAACTTCCCCATAGTTTCCAACTCCATAAGCATCAACAATGTTTTGGAACCCTGAGGTGAATTTATTGGTACGTATCAAAGTTGGAGGAGGTTGTGTTGTTGGGATGGTATTCATGAATGAAGAAATTGTAGCTCCACTCTTCCTCTAATTACAGACAGAAAGAAGATACATTTATATAAAAACTCGGTTGGTGCTTAATCTAATCAAAGCAAAAACATCTCCTCTATCAGCAGTTTCACTGATCCTGAAACATCCCTAAATTAAGCCCCAAGTTTAACATTTATCCACTTGTGCCTTCTTAAAAAACAAAAATTAATCTGTTCCTCTCAGAACAGTGATTTATGTACAGCATTCTAATCCTTACTTTATATGAACTATCAGATGACACTCATCAGTCAATATTATAAAACAAAGATTTGTTACTAAAAATTCTCTCTTATAAAACAAAAGAGAGAGCTGCACTCAACACAACTAACACAAGGAAATCAGCACCTTCTGCTTGACTGCAAATCGCACTGTAAGCCCAGTCAGACTTGGGTCTAACACAGAAGTTCTTCAAGGAAAAAAAACAACCAACCAACCAACCCACACGCCAAAAAAAACCCCAAACCCACCATACACAACACTAAATGAAGGCTTTCCTTATAAAGGAATTGTTTGTTATGAGTTCATAGAGACCTAGACCTGCCTGTGCCTACTTTTAGCCTATTTTAAATAATTATTTTCTTTCCTTATCTGTATAGTTAGTTCAAGACAGAAGTTTTAACATCAGTGAGCATTCAGCTGACTTACTGAACCTTCCTCCAACGCATGGCGCAAATTTTGCAGATCAGCCACTGGACACCAAACCTCAGCAATTAAACATTTGTTTGTGACATCAAAACTGCACAGGTTGAGTACATGATAAATGGCTTTCATCTTCTTCACTTGGATAACCCATGTATAGATGGATTCAGATGCTTTACACAAGACCTGGCGTAAGTAATCCTCAGTTTTATGCAGCACCTTTGTCCAAGAAAAAAAGAAGTCATTGAAAACATCGAGTGTGTTAAGTTAACCACAGTAAAAGCACCTAGTATTTGCCCAATGCCAGATCACATTTGTAGGAGGGCACACTAACCATGGCTTGAAACAAAAGGCAATGCCAAGTGCCCTGAAGTTTAATAGATACATGCAACATGAAACCAGGGACATGACATACAGTCATGTTGAGATCCAAAGCTGTATGTATTTTAGAAACATATTCATGTATTTTATGCTGTGATTTGTCAAATGATCTCCTGTGGTGCAATAACTACAGCAAAGGAATACTGTTATTTACTCACAGTATGAAGATCGTGAATACGAACATTTAGTCCTTCAATAACTGCCTTGCGCTCCTCCATGTTATTTGGATATGGATACACATGACAGTGATAGCTACAGAAAAACAGAAGTTTATGCTAAATAACCAAACTAAAACAAAATAAATCATCTAATCCCATGCTCTAGTCAAATCTGCAACACACCATTTAATAACCACAGAACAGATTCAACTGAGAGAGTCAGTATTTTGCCTGTACTTAGTAAGGACTGCAGATAAAATGACTCATATTTATTTGTATGTTGCACCACTATAAAGCTAGATGCAATGTGAGTGGAGGAACAAATTTAACTTCAAAATATAATCAACACTTACAAGGAAAGGGATTAGGGGGAAAATTAACAAGAAAATAACCCAGGTATAAAGAAGTCATATATATTAGCTTTACTTCTTACCAGTCACAAATCTTCTTAACTTTCTGTCCAATTTGTTCACCCCAATAGGACACTAAAAAAACAAACCATTTTGTGGTTTCGCCCTAAAAAACCAAAAAGTTAAGTTGACAAAGTTTGTTTTTAACCAACACCACCTCTGTGATATAATTATAGAGCAAATAACAAATCTGAGTAATAAGAAAAAGCTGTGTTAGTAGCATTAACCTTCCACCATTTTAGTAAAGATCAAAAAATAAAATTCAAGTGTGCCAATCTCTCTCCTTTTTTTTGTGTATCAGAGAAAAAGAGAAAAAGTTTTCAGGGAAAATGAAAGAGATATTATATTTTACCACCTCAGAATGATTTGTAAAAAAAAAAGTCTTAAAAAATTAAAATGTTACAAATTAGAATCGAAGTAGAATTTAAAAGTGACAGATTAGGCAGACAAAATTGCCGATTTACAAAAAGTGAATTTTGTAAGTTCAGAGAAAAAACTTCATAGAAGACCAACTGTACTCTAGACTTTTTTCCTTAACTACTGAATGAACAAATAAAATTACTATTAAAAGGTAATGCACTGTACAGATCTAGTTAATAAATATCCAAGCAGCCATTCACGTCACATATTTTAATCAAGGTAGCTAATCATTAAGTCACTACTATTCCACAACGAAGTTCTGCGCTCATCAAGCAGAGCCATGATAAATTAATTGCCATAGTTATGGTGGCATCAAGACCTCTAATTTTAAAGTCTTACAAGTTCTAATACTTTAAAATAGTTTTCTCTCCAAAGGCAGTAGGAAATCATTTACCTTCCTTGCAGGCTGACCTGAGCAGCAATTCTTCCAAGTCTTACGAAAAGTACAAACAAATAAACTGAGAGTTACAATGTTTACTCACTGTATCAGGATCTTCCAGACACTCATCCAGCTCTGCATATGTAAGAATAGTATAGCCTTTACAGACTCTCCACAGCATTTTTTCAAATGCTTCAACTTTTGCTATGTGAACTAACCCAGATATGAATCTACGGAAAAAGAAAAGTTTGAAAAATAAGCTAAAATCCACAAGAAAAATTAAAAATTCAGAGTACATTATCACTCACGATCACATAATCACAGTAATTTAACATCTGACATCTCTAGAGAAGGAAGCATCACCCTAAACAGGAAGTAACTGGTATATAAAATACTCAGTTTCTATTTGGAAAACAAACAAGACTGAAGGCCTGAGCACACAACTAGAATTATATTTGACATTGCCTCTTTCTGTGATAATAAGGTTCTTAATTTTTTCTTGGTAAGATACCCTCTCATAATGGTGTTGTAGAAAGCAGTATCCATACACCACTTTAAAGGCAAGTAGGCAATACCATTGGTAATATTACATTTACAACTGACACTGCCAGGTGATTAAAACACTGTGTTTATCCTAGAAAAACAGAGTGTCAACAGTAGAAGAAAGTACTGATTTAGAGCATTTAGAGATTTTTTTTCCTTAACACACATACTTGGTTTGATGGAAATTTTGTGACGGTTTTTTTGGTACTGTCCTGCTTATCTCTTCAAATAATCCAGTTGTTACAAAGGTACATTTGAGTCAGACTCCTACCCTGTCTAAAACTGTTTGGCTCATCTGAAATCACTATAGTCACACTACATTCTATTTTTTAAGAAAACAGCTGATTATTTACAGCCGCTTATGAAGCGGTTTTGAAACACGACACACTGACAATCTGCCATACGTGGACTGAACCATACCTACCCCAGCTTGGCACCCAGTCTGTGCATACAGTTGTAATCCACTAATGGCTCATTTTCCACAGACGGAAATTCTTCATAATTTGCATGTAAATGAGATTCATACTAGCAAAAAAAAGAAAGATCATTTTAGCTTTCAGAAAAAAACATGTTTTCTTTCACTTATTATTCTAAAGAAGAAAATATAATTAATTAAATTATTTCAATAAAAATATAAAATTCTTTCTTGTTTTCAATTCAGACAACAGAGAGATCTTGGCATCTAAAGCATACTACTCTTAGCAATTACAGTCAGCGTTCCAAAAGTTACATGGTAAATTTCATATTACAATTTATGCATCAAAATAACACAAATATTCCTCCATTCTCAGTTGGCATCAGCAGTAACATTCAAACAATTCAACAGAGAAATCACAAAGCTCCTCTAAATTCAGAGCTGCATTTTGCTATGTATACGAACACAGCTCAGCACAAGAGCTTGCCAGCCAGGTTCTCCAGGCTACTGAGCGCAAGCAATAACAAACAATGTACAATGCTGTAAAGCCCGACACCAAGTCATGCACTTAACTAGAACTACTAACACTATGCTACAAAAATGCCACATGACACACAATCCTCCCCAAACAACGTTAAGCAGTACCTCAGCTGTTCTCCTGACAAATCTCTGTGTGACCTCTAACATGCATGTGTATTCTGTCAGTTCAAGCAGGTTTTTCCTCAACTTTTCTTTGTTTTTAGTTACTTCCCTCAATTCTGTCTCCAGCTTCTGCAACTGTTCCTAAGATATGGAGAAAAAAATGACAGAATCAGTTATACTGGTTTGGAAATCAGAGGAGGATGAATTTTAAGCATGTATTAGTTTGCTGCAATGATGAGAGTTTCCCAGTTTCTTAATTAACTTAAGTTCCATAAGTTTTGTTCTTCAGTCTGCCAAAGACTGCTTTGTACTGAGTACGCTTGATCGTCCACTAGCATCTGTTAAGTCTGCTGTTCTGACCCTAATTTGTGCCCGAGCTAAGTATGGCAGACTTGGAATTAGAACCTCAGATAGTACAGGGTGAAAGACACTTATCTATTCTAGCAATAGAATTACAGCAAAACAGAATATCATTCAAAATTATATCTGCATTTTACAAGCTTCTACTTCTAACGTAATACCAGAAAAAGCATTCAGAGAAAATAGCACTATGTTTTGCTATGCAACCAGCACTAGAACCTACAAAGTCTTGGGTATATAAAACTCCCAAAGACCCTGGAAGTTTTGGATGCATAAAAAGAGCCTTAGGTAAGTCCCAAAGAAATAAATGAGGATGAAGGACTACATCTACAGGTAACAGTTTGCCTGGAACAGTGTAATATGCAATCCATGAAAATAAAACAGATGACTGCAAATCCTGTGAGTTTGCTTTGACCTTTTCACAGGAATTTTGTGTTAATATCAAATCCTCTCTGGCAGTCTTTGAAGTAACACTGGTAAAAAGAAGAAAAAAAAAAAAAAAAAAAGACAAAACCAAAAGCAAATGCTTCTGTCTCCCTGCCACACTCCTATACCATAAGTCGTAGGTAATAAGATAGCAAGTAATTAAGTTTGAATTAAAGTCCCAAGATCCAGAGCTACACTTTTGGCATCTGCTCTGTGGAAAAGTTACCTGGATTTCTAAAATGTGTTTCAGCAAGGGGGCAGGAGGAGCAACATCTCCTTCAGGAAGTGGAATATCCGCCTTTTTAATTTCTTGTACTAAATACCCTGGAGTGAGAAGAAAAACAGCATCAGAAAGGAAATGGTATTTCCTTGTAATTCCCAGAATTCTGCATAGACCTTCAGCTGTTATTGATGGTGCTGATCACACTGCAGCATGAAGCCCTAGCTGTTTTATTCATTTATTTTAGCAACAACACACACATTGGTCTTCAAAAAAGAGGGGCTTATGGAGTGCGAGGAGTAAATACAAAGAACATTTCTGTCTTGGAAGTTTGCAGAAGTAAGCTATCTTCAGAGTCCTCTGACTGACATTTTCCAACCACAAGTACTTTTTAAGAAGCTAACATTTCAAAGTATCTCTTTGCTGCTGCAAGATACCACTTTCTGCTAATTGTGTCATCTGCCAAAAACTGACATTCTGCTCATTGACCCATGTTTGGAATAAAAAGAAAAAAATATAAAAAAAAAAATAATTCAAACAAGGCGGCTTAAGCAACCTTGATAACAAATGCAACTCACGCTGGGCAGGGAGATTGCCAAAATAGCTACCGGGATGGTTTGGCATGACCAGCACATGCCTCTGATGAGAGATTCCAACAAAAGAAGCCTTCAAGGGTAACTTTCCCTCAGGATACACTGAAGAAGTCTGCATCTTCATTGCAATGCTTTGCATACCCTTCTCTATTCATTAACTACCATGTGAATACAATTATTAATAATTTGAGACATTTTTGAGGGTGTTTGGAAGTTCAACAGTATTGAGTTACACAACATGAAAAACAGGGTTTATCTTATAGTCAAGGAATATCCAGAGTAAAGTTTCCGTTTTCCTAGCAGAGTTTTAAGCAGTCAATATTGAAATGGTCTCAACTATTTATCAGCAACACATTAGCAATTCTTCTTCACCTCTAAGCTTAAAAACCCCAACCTATATTTAGCACATACATGTTGCAGCGCAAGTAAACTTTACCGCTCACAAAACCAAGAACCAGAGATCAGTGGTAAAGGACTGGACCAGGTTGCCCAGAGAGGTGGTGGAGTCTCCATATCCAAAATCCCACCAGAGCCCTGGAGAATCAGCTCCAGCTGCCCCTGCTTGAGCTAGAGTTTGACTAAGTGATCTCCAGAGGTCCCTTCCAATCTAAACAATTCTGTGATATGCTCAAAACTGATGCAGCATATCAACACAAATTAAGGAATATATCGGTACATTCTGACCCAATTCAGTGCTACAGTCAAGTTATCTCCAGCTCCAAAAATCTACATAGAGACTCTATGTATTTTTTCATACACATGAAAGATTTGTAAGATTCTACAGCATTCAGATCATACAAGACTAGAAAGACCCTATAGTTGAAACCTTCACTGTAGTTCCACTCTAGCAATGTAAGCTTTAATAATGTCACAGATGAGAAAGGGCAGACATGAAAATAAAGCTCACCAAGTATTCTTTCCATTTCTTCACACTTCTTTACTTCATTCACAAATTTTCTCTGAAATACACTTACGTTTGGGTTGAGCTGAAGGAGAAGGACAAAATCCTTATTAGGTATTCAAAACAGCAACCACCCCCAAAAAACCACAGCTATTTCTGTGACTTCATGGAGACAATTTTGCAAGTATTTGCAAGTGTTCTCTCTCTTTCTACAAAGTGCTTTTCAGCCAGGAAGGTATAAAAATCTAAAAAGATTAAAAAGTCTTCAAACAGCAAGGTTTTATTAAAGCAGAATTATCAATGCCTTTTGCCAGTTTTACTCAAGTAACAAAATCACTAGATCTACTAGAGAAACCATTCCTGATCTTATTTCTACAGTTTTAAAATACTGCTTAATGACTTCAAATTAACAAACCAACCTTTCTACAAGCAAATTTTTGCAATGGATTTCCACAGAATCTATTTGAAATGTTAAGTTTTGAAAGAATCTTTTTACATATTATGAGTGCGCAATGTCCCTGACTACTTATTCAGCTTTTAAATCTGACCCTCTAACACGTTATTTCTGGAATAAATGGTGTGTCAGATACCTGCAATGGCATCAATATGTTAAACATAATATCCATGTAATGACACTTACAGATTTGTCTCCTCCAACCTGCCATATTTACTAACTAGCATTTAAGTTCTCCTAGCTTTCCTTGCAAAGATTTTGCAACCTACATTTCTGAAGACTACTTGGAAGAAATTCCAAAGCCTCAGTCAGCAAGCAAAGCTCAGGTAATTATGATGAGACAATGCAGAAACAAGGCTAATTATTACCTGACCCAATTTTATATTAGTCAGGCATGTAGTTTCCTCCAAGGTGAACTGCTCCTCCAGGAACAAACATGCTTTACAAACCAGCAGTCTGTGATGTTGAAGAAATAAAGCTACAGAACAGCCAAGATGTTTCTATGGATCTGTCAGCAGTGGTGGTGGTGGGGGGTGCATTTCTATTAGCTGCGCACATGCACTCAGACTAAAGTCAGTGTGGCTTCAGGTATTCTCCCAGGGGATCCTATTGCAAACCCCCCCAAGTTTAAATTAATTCTGTGAGAGAGCTAGGATGCAGTCATCCCCAAACACCCCTCCATACAGTCTCAGGGAGGCTGGGACTCCACACCAACTTTCCATCGCCCAAGCTCGCCTTCAGGCGAACGCGATGTAGGCATCAGCTAAACACCTGCACGCCACAGCCGGAGAGAGATGGGCACAGAAGCGCTCTTGGGAGTCTTTTACATCGCGCCATCGAAGGAAACCCGCACCTCCCCGACGGCAACTACTCTGCCCGGCTCGGCTTTCTCCGCGTCGCCCACCCGCCGGGCCCTCTCGGGGACCTTTTACCCCCCCCATTCTCCCACAA